AAATGAACTCTGAATCTTTCTATTGGTTCAGGTATGAAAGGTGAAGATGCATTTCCAAAGAGGTCTTAATGAAGTATCAATTTTTCAAGACGTGTGATGATACAGTCTCAGGATTTGAGATCACTTTTGCATTCACTGGCTTTTCTGCAGATCTTAGCAACCAGAATCAGAAACAGCAGACTTCTGCCATCAGAGGAAACATTACCTCTCACAAAAACAGATAAAATTTTGAGAACCTAACTACAATCATAACACACTGACAATCTTGCAGACAGTTCACTCTTAATTGGAACCAAGCTCTCTATTGACTCACTGAAATGCCACGTGCTCAGTGCATGCTCCACAAATACTGATTTAACTGAGTTTAACTGGTAACATGCTTGTACATTTTCATTGCTTAGACTGTTATGTCAGTTATAAGTATTTTTATAGTACTCACTTAATCTATATGTCTCTTTCTTTGACAAGTTATTCCAAAATGGGCCTGTTCCACTACTGAGGAAGGAAAATGAGTGCCACAACTTAGCAGTTTATACCTTAACAAGTACCATGGATTCAGATCATGTTTGCCCAGACAGTCAAAAGGCAGGGGTCTTGGCCAGTCAGTCAGAGCTCAGCAGCCTTGCTTTACAGCAGTGTTTGTTTCAAAAAAGTACTCTCAATAATCTCAGCAGCTTCAACAAAAATATTTCTTAATTCAGTGTATATATAAATTCACTCCTCTAAACAAAGCAGACTTCTTCTACCAACTTCTCTAACAGATTAATATCAAATCCTCTAAACAAGGTTCGACAAGTGTGTCTGATCACTTGAAAACTGTAAGATCACAGAAGTGAAAATCTGTCATACCAATTATGTAAAGTCATTGGAAAGAAATCCATGCATTTTTGCAAGCAGGCGAAACAGGCTTTTCACAGAACAAAAGAAGCCTTGTCTTTTTCCATTATGTGACGAATCCTAATTAGAATCAATGATTTTTTACTGTTGGCCCAGATATGCTTGTTTACATAACTGTAACTTCTTAAAACAGAAATTGGAATGCTGGTAGGAAAACACATCCACTGGTATGACAGACCTTGAAGAAGAATACTGTCATTGCATGATGCTTACCTCTGATCATGCAAATACTGAACAGTAAACAATATAGAAAAGAGTGAAAGAAATTTAGTTTTGTTTGAAAATATTTATAGAAATAAAAAAAGAGCACCCATAAAGGCACATTGTCATCTCTTCCTTGAGCTTGTGTCGGTTCATGACGAATAGGAAGCATTCAAAGAGGGGAAAAAGAGGGAAAGAAATTTTTTATTACCACTCTTCGTATCAGGCACACATAACATTTCAACATTTCTTGCAGAAACAGCTTTTGAAAAGGAATTTTTATTACAGTTACATCTCTTGAAATGATTTACTTGTGATGTTGAACTTTGTAATGATGCTTGTTAGTTCTCCACAGCTGAATGCTCATGGAGTAAAGTTGCTATATATCTCAAACAGTAGTAGGAAAGTACCAAGCTTAACTTAAAACTGTCTTCAGGAGACAAGAGAAACAAGCATTCAGAGAAGATAAAGATGATATCAAAAAACAACTGCTATATGGCTGTTCCAATGTTTAGCAATCTCAGATGTACTTAGCAAAGCTGACTTAGTCCCTTGGCAGCTCTAGACAAATCATCATGGAACTTCACCAGCTCCTCTTCCCAAACTGCCCTTTCAGTTAGCTCAGTAACCTGCAGACTCAGTTTGTTCCCTTACAGTAACCACCTGCAGAAAGACTTCCCTGTTTCAAAGCAGGCCTGCTCAGAAAAATATCTTCAGCAACTATTTAAGCACTGTTAACACAAGGTCAACAGCAATTACAGAACTGTAAAAAAGGACTCCACTGCACTGGCTGAATTGGTAACACACTGGTCCAAGAAGTCTGTCTGTACAGGGAGTCCACTATGACTACATTCTGGACAGTGCTTAATCCTTACATCATCCAAGTCCTTTGGAAACCTACCCTGCAATTATCTGTACCTTTAAAAACGCACAAGCTTTCAGTATCTCCACAATGCCACCTCAGCTAATCAAGACAAATGCAATGGAACAGAATTGCTTCAGGGACCAAAGCGATTCAAGCTGATTCTTGTATTCCTTGCATTCTTCAGGCTATTGTGGCTGAAGTTTTAGATGTACGTATAAAAAAATGCATTCAGGATGCGTCAGTGAAATTAGTGGTATCACTGAGGAATCATTTCTGGCTGCTGGATTCTGCTTGAAAGAACCTTACTGAAGTCTGGAAGACAACTGCTATGCAACGGAAAGGCTGGGTGACCTGGATCTGTTCAACTTTGAGAAAAGAAGACTAAGAGGGGATCTAAATAATGTTTATACATATCTTACATGTGTGAGTTCAGTGGTCTGTGGGGACAGGACAAGGGGAAATGGACGTAAACTGGAGCATAGGAAGTTCCACATCAATATGTGAAGGAACTTCTTCACCGTGAGCGTGACAGAACACTGGAACAGGCTGCCCAGGGAGGTTATGGATTCTCCTTCTCTGGAGATATTAAAGACCCACCTGGATGCCTACCTGTGCAGCCTGCTGTAGGAGGCATGCTTTGCAGGGGACTCTCTGGAGGTCCCTTCCAAACCTTACAATTCTGTGATTTTGTAATTTGGTGTAATTCACTCTATAAGAACTCCCAGGACCAAACCCTCTGCTTGATCTCTTTACATATTGTCACTCACATCCTCCTAAGTAGGAGTAAAAACACATTAAACAAAACATGAGTGTTGAAAAACATAAATCATGCTATAAATCAAGAATACCTTAGTATCTCTAAACACTTCAGAATATATCTGCATTTTTCTCACCAGGTATTTAAAAAGTGCAAACAGATGCACAAACAAGTATGTGGCATTTTTCCATCTCCTATTTATTCATTATAAATAATCCAATGACTATTCTATAATGCATGATTCTCAACATTCTAAAGCCCACATTGTCACATAAGCCAGTAGACTTGGATGCCTGGAAAGTTCTCCATAGCATGTTAGAAGCATTAATTAAACCTCTAATCCTCAGGAAATCAGTGTCAAGCACCTGAACAAAATCTGTCAGTGTATTTACCATGCTTTAAATCCACACTTCCTTTCTAAAGTAGTAACACAATAATGCACAACACAGTCATTATAACTGTCTATCCTTCTCACTTCCTTTCCTCTATATAAATTTTTTTAATAGAATCATGTTTTCCATGAATGGCTTCTGTTTGTTTCTGTTGTGACTATTTAACAACTTGTGTTTCCTGTTTTCCCATCAAATACCATTAGGTCTTTCTATCAGCAAATGGAAAACTTCACAATTTATTTACTGTTTCTGACAAGTTTGGCCACCAACGAACCAGAGATATCTGAAAATGCAGAATAGAAGTTATGCAAAAGAATGTTATGGCTTTTTGAGTAACCCAATTTCTTCATTATTTCACACAAACTTGCTCTAAAACCACACCCTTGGCACTGTCAGTTAGGTTTGATTTCAGATAATTTTCTCTTTCTTCAGTGTTCTTTCACCATTCCTGCTCTCATTCTTCATATTGCTGTCTCTTCTCACTCATCTGCTGATGTCTTTCTCTGATATTTTTCTTCTATGTGCAACTGCCTTAAAAAACTGTTTTATGGTTTCATAATGAGTACTTTTTCTTCCTGTCTCTCTCCTCATAAATCTGACAAGGATCACCTGAGGAAGAATTGAAGTTAATGGTCCAATATATCCCAAGAAAAGAAAAAACAATATATTGGATATTTTTAAAAAAGATTCTGAGAGCAGAGGACCTGAATTCAAGCTCTGGTGTATGATACTTCCTCTGCCTTGCTCTTTAAGAGTGAAGTCTAAGATGATGCTCCTCTCTAAAGACCAGCACTTTAAAATTAAAAAAAAAAAATAAAGAAAAAAGTTCCTCTACTTAGTTTATAAGCAAACGTTTAGAATAAGTCAGAAATCATAAGAATGGAATTGTCAGAGAGACAAACACAAAAACAGATTCTTTGCACCAACTTACATTTCAGAACTTAACAACATTTCATAGCACATAACTACTTTTTTTTTTTTTTTTTTTTTTTTTTTTTTTTTCCCCAAGTATGTTACAATCAGCAATTATTCCTAGAAAAAATATATTCATTGTTTCCTTAGGTTGTGCTAAGAACTGGGAACAGCCCTACTTAGAGCACCTTCTGTTGGCACCAAATGTGCTCTTAGTGAGGTAAGTTAACTGTCATCTAAAATACAGCCTGTGTGTAAAGCAAGCAAGGAATCTGAATTAGAGTGCTAACTGATGATTCATTGGAGTCCAAACATCAGCTGATGGTAGAGTTATTTGGCTATGTTATCACCTCTCATTTTGTATGCAGGAAACTAGCTTGTAGCATCTCTAAATAAAGAAAACAGAATAGCAGATCTTTGGGTGTTGAATGCTCACTACTAGAAGTTCTGAACAGAGAACTTGTCCTATGTCATTTTTCCTACTATATTCAGCACAACAGAGCTTAGAGTCTGTTTTTTTTTTGATAGTAATGACACAAGCTATTGCCCTAAAAAATACACAAAATACACAGGTTAAGGAGGAATAACACGATGCAGTAATATTTGGGACAAATTGTATCATTTATTCTGCACCTTTTTTTTTTTTTTTTTTTCCTGTGTGTGATCCATGCAGTTCCAGAGACTGATAATAACTTAAACTTCAATTTTTGAAGTTTACCATCTCATTTCTGTAGTCCACAAGGTTTTTAAATTAAGGAAAAAAAGAAAAAAAATTGTCAAACATTATCTGTCAGTACACATCAATTTAAAGAATACCTTCCCTTTGTAGATGGAAAGATGGAGCAGACTTTAATTCATACAGACTACCTAAAAAAAACCCACATTAGCATTACCTACAAGAAGCAGAATTACAAATTCTGAGTGTGCTTGTAAGTAATAGTCTTTTAAGGATAAGAGAGGCAGAATTCAGACTTACTGTGCATTTGTTCGGCTTCTCTCCTGAGTGAACTCTCATGTGAATTAGCAGTTTATACCTTGCATTGAATGGCTTGAGCCTTCTTGGACAGCCTGCCCAGAAGCACGTGAAGTCTTCTCCCTTCCTTTGGTCTATATGAATCTTCTCAATGTGTTGCACAAGTTCCTCTTGCTGATCATACAGCATGTTGCAATCAATCCAACGACAGCCATGCTTGCCATTAAAATCGTTCAGGTCTCCATCTTCTTCGAGCTGTGGGTCTGGAGCAGAAGGAGGCACAGGCAGAGGGTGGACAGGACCAGGGAGGCTTTGAGGAAGCTGGTGCTGGTGAGCATGGTATGGTGGTGGTGGTCCTTGTGGAGTAGGTGGTAGCAGTGGGGGTGGAGGAGGCATATCAATAGTATGACCTGAGAAGTCATCCAATTGTTCATTTTTCAGGGCATCCACTGCTTGGCTGTTCACAGGAAACATGCCCTGTTGGATCACCATGTTAGTCATCATGTCTGTCTGCAGGCTGACTTGCTCCAGCTGCTGCATTCTCTGGTACTCACCAGCTCCATTCTCAACAAACTCTGGGAAGGCAATGTTGCAATTAGCCATGAGAAGGCCTTTCTGGTAAGCTGGCACAGAGCAGTTTTGGGGTATACAGCTGCCTCTCACTCCCAGAAAATGCCCATAGACCTCAGGCTGTGGGGAAACATTAGCTGGTGAAGTCCTGGAGCCGTTGATACAGGCCACTAAAGAAGTAGAGGATGTACGAATGATTGTATTGAAGTCAAACCCAATGCCATCAGACAGAGGAGAGAGTGCTTTCTTTTTGGAGCGGGCAGATTGAGACTGGGAGAAGGAATGATAAGCAATAGGATTAGAGGAGTGACTATTTTCCATGCCAAGTAGGTAGGATGGTAATGGACTAGATATGCAGTTAGTGGACACAGACGGTGCAGGTTGAAAATTTAGTAAGTTCCCCAGCACACTGCCATTTTGTAAACCTTGATCAAGTGGAACAGAATGAAGTATCTCATACCCATGTGACCAGTCTTGCTTAACAGTCAAAGTCAACTGACTTTCTGACAAGCTTGATGTTGCAGAGTCCAGAGACTTGTGTGACAACAGTGACCTGGAACAAAGGCATAATAAACTAAGTAAGCAGTTAGACACTTAACAGCACAAATTTAATGTGTGTGTACTGCTGTAGAGTAGTTCTTCCACCTTCATACACATTTAAAACTAAAGAAAAGCATGTATAAATTCTTCCTAGCTTCAAGTAGCCACATTTTTACATTCTCCATTAATATACAAGGAGGTATACACAGTCAGTGTGTATGTAAAAAGACACTTAATAATTGAACTTTAACTTAATTTTTTTTTTTTTAAACTTCATATAAGTGTAAACGGGTTTTAGCTTCTGAAGCCAAAGTTCTATGTTCCTGCCTTGTATGAAGCTCACTGATTTGAGATGACTATCATTTTTGATAGCAAGGATAGGGAAGAAAACTGAATAAAGAATGTTTAACCCTTATGACTTTGCCAATTGTAATTCATACAAATATTATTCAATAAGAAATAGCTCAGGATTCTATAGATTATATCTAACTATAGAAAACAAACAAAATACATTAAAAATGTAGAAGAACTAGCTGAAGGGGTTATTTAATTTTATTTTGTGACAAATTTCCTTTGAAGTTAGTAGTCAGTTTTTGTGGGTTTTTTTTCCACAAAAGTGTAATCTTACTGTTATTGTTGGCCTGTCACAGAAAGACTAAGAAATTTGGTTATGTTGCAAATCTCTTACAGGTTTAAAAAAAGCTCTTGACAATATTTTTTTTTTTTCTACAGAAACATCTAACAAGGAAACACACAGCAAAGTAGATCTGTCTTTGTGATTCAATTCTGTATATTGGCAGACTTGAACTTCCTACCAGTTAGTGGTTCTTGTGGTAGTGTCATCAATATATTAATTAGTATTTTTGAGGTGCTCTGATGTTAGGGAGAACCAGGTACATATCAAGATAAACCTGGAGATCACACAAACAACAAAAAAATTCTGCCTTTTGGGAGCTAACTCCTGGATTTATTATTTTTACAATACACTATTGAAAAAGCACATAATTTTAGTGGTAGTCCAAGTGCACAGGAAATCAGCTTTCTCTTTTAAAGTGCATTTTTGAAGGAAGAAAAAATCATTTAGTCACTGCTTTTCATCTTCTCAAATTGTAAATAAGATATGCAGTACTTTCTCCTATCACACATAGATTTCAGGCCAAATTAAGTTCGCAAATGACAGCTAGTAAGTTGTAGTGGGTACTGTAAATACCAGGTATTTAGAAATTTAAGAAATATTTTAAGTAAACAATATATTGAATATTTACATGCAGAAATCCAAAGAAAGTCATGCAGACAAGGAATAATGTATTCTTATTTACAAAAGTAAGATACTATAGTCATTTACTTATGATGTTTTTACATAATAATTTTATTACCACAGATTTGCAATTTATAGAACAAAAACTATGAACCATGAAGAAAACAATCAGAAACAGATCTCAATTCTTTCTTGATAAGAGATGGGAAATAAATCCCATCTCTTTCTTCCTGCATACAGAGTTACAGCAAGCACATTTACAGAAAAAATTCTACCTACTTCACTATCTTCTTGCTAGATAAGCAAGTTTTGAGTCCAATAAATAATATTGTTGTTGCTTCTGCACGATTTTCTTACAGACTCTGCTTTAGAGGATAAGATTCCACAAGACAGGATCCACGAGACACTTCTGTTAACGGTCATAGTTGCATATTATGTTTGCACCACAACTCTGTCTGAATTAACTGCAGCTTTAGTGGAGATACATGAAATCACCTTACTTTAGAATTATTGGTAGGTGAAGCCAGGGACCAACATCAGCCAACACAACAGAGCATAAGCAGAGGAACTACCTCCTCTGGCCAATTCTCCCTATAATTTTCGTTTGCTATAATATCATATCCTCATGTTACCAGTCCCAATCTACCCAAGCCACTTGTATTCTAGCAGCCCAGTCTATCTGCTGGTTGTTCTGATGTTCTTCAGCGTCATGACTCTTTGGTATATGTGCATCTAGTGATAAATCTTTACAACTTCTCTATCTGGGCAGCCCTATCTTTCTGCAATGCTGCAGGACAGATGGGTTTAGTTCTGCACTGCCAGTTGTTCTACTTCCATTGCTGTAAACAGCACTGCAGTCCATCTCCCACTATACATGAGTCAGAGTGGAGGTAGAACATTGTCCACTTTCCTCATTCAGCATTATCTAAAGCCAGCTGGATGGCCTTCACTTCAGCAAATTGGCTCAATTCACCTTCTGTCAGCATTTTCTGCTATTTGTCACGTAGGACTTCAGATAGCAGCATTCCACCTTCAGTGCTTTCCTATGATATGGCAGGCCCATCAGTGAACAAGGCATATTGCTTCTCACTCTGGCAATTTACTACACAGTGGAGCCTCTTCAGCATGCATCATTTCCTCCTCTAATGATATTCTGAAATCCTTGCCTTTGGTTGTTCCATGATTACTTCTGAGATTCCTGGGTGACTGGGATTTCCTACTAAAGCTTGAGTTGTGAGATCAGTGTGGCTCATTTACTTCACAAAGCATCCGTTGCATGATGTGTGGAGGGACCCTGCCTTTGAACATCCAGTGCAGCACAGGCAGTCAGAGTACCAAGAGCAGTTGTGCTTCAGTACTAACCACTTCCAAAGCAGATCAGAACCCTTCAGATGCTGCCAGTACCTCTCTTTTTCAGCTGAGCGTAGAGGGCTTCAGATCCTCTATATACCCGGCCCCAGAACACTAGAGGATGAATCTGAGCTTCCACTGCTGCTTTGTACAAGAGGCTTCAAGAGGGGCGTTCTAACTGCAGTGTAGATCACTTTTTCTTTTTTTTTAAACATCTTAGCTGCCCAGACTGGCCCATGGGATTCTACTGAATCTACTACTACTACTACTATTGAACTATCTCCTGTTTAATTTGTTTAAAGGCTTGCTGTTGCTCAGGCATTCATGTGAAATTATTCTTCTTCCAAGCCACTTAATAGAAAGGGCTTACAGTCAGACTGTAATCTGGAATATGAATTCTCCAAAAATCCATAATGCCTAAGAAAGGTTGTGCTTCATCTTTTCTAGATGGGAGAGACATATCTTATAGATCACATCCATAGGGATCTGATGACATCCAACATAACTGACTCCTCTGAAAAGGTGTGCTGGAAACTCAAAAAAGATGAAGATTTTATCTCTCTTGGTGTATATACAAAAATCTGATATAAATTGTAGTAAACTATAGCTTAGTAAACTTTCCCTTCTCATGCCCATCAGGAAAAATCAAGACAAGTCATTTTGTTTCAAGTTAATTCAATCCACAATCTTTTTTGGATTGAACTACCAGAGCACAGGTCATGATGCATCCTGAAAAGCACAATGCAGAGAAGGCTCTCAGCCTGTAACTGATTATAAAGTAGTTTAAACAACCAGCTTAGGCAAATGCAGTTTAATGCTAAAACAATTTTTTAAGAAGTGTTAACACAATCTGTAAATTAAAATCTAACTTAAAACTTGTTTTGCCCTAAATTGAGGGGAAAATTGCTGAAATAAACATTCTTTGTATGACAAACTGATTTTATAGTCCTCATTGATAAATCATTAAGAGACTCTAGAAACACTAGAACCTGAATTCTGCCAGAGTTTCAACTTCAGTTCACCCTTAGTAAGTGTTTCTTTAAAATAAAAACATATTGCTCAGTTGTTATATGTACTATGTTGACATAGTACACACAGCCATACATTCATGTAAATATAACGAACTCTACAGGCACACTGAAAACTTCTGAGTATGAAGTAGGTAATAATACTCTAATGATATTTACATTCTATCATCTCTATTGTGACATGGAGGCATGTTTCTGGAGCTGTCATTTTTTATTAGCTTAGCAGTGAATGGTTTTCCCTGGCATGGTTATAAAGGAAGCACAATTCATTTTCTAAATTGTCCCAGAGGACTCAGTTCTCACAACTAAAGAGACAGAAATAAAACAGATCAGAATATCTCAAGCTAGAAGAGACCCACAAGGATCATCCAGTCCAACATGTCCCAGAATATTACAGATTGTAGCAAGATTTTCTTCCAGTTACATAATAATAGTTATAATTATTTCAAGACCATTTCTTAGCTTTCAATAAAGTGATATAGTAAAATGTAAATTGTTTAGAGAATAAGAGATGTTCTGTGAAAAAGAACCATTACATATTTTAGGCTCAGGAGGCAACTATTGCTCAAGTTACATCTACAGAATTGGCTGTAAAATATACTCATATAAGGATGAGCTTACTGTACCTGTACAAAGGCTAACTAAACAACTGTTTTCCCTTCACTCATGTTTGCCTGTTGTACTCATAGCTATAATCTCAAAATTTATTGGAGTATATGGAACATACGCTGTTATCTGCTCGTACAGTGCAGATAGGGAACAACTGATACAATTAAGTTAATGATTGAAATGATTTGAAAGCAAATGTAGTTGATTAGAGAAGAAAAATGTTAGTGGGATATTAAAAGTAATTTTGTCAGACATTATTGTCACTTGGTCAGCATCAGCATAACACTCTTAATGTTATGGTAAGCTTAAAACACATAACTGTCCAGAATATGTAATTCTACTTTCTCCTTAATATTTTCAGTCTCTGGCTCTTTTTTTCCTGTACAAAAATACGCTTAAGTGATTATGAAAATCTTCACCTAAGAAAAAGGCCATATCAAACACAGAAAAGTTCTAGCCACATTTCCTCCTTGATATGAATTATCCAAACCACTGTGATTATGGATTTACTTAGTTTTAATTAAACTTGCCATGGCATAACAGAACTACATTTAGGTCATTATATCAGAAAGGCTTCCATTTAAATGATAGGAAAATTTAAAAAATAAAAAAACCCAAATGTTCTTTAAGTACTGAAAAGAAAAAGGTTAACTCAGGACCTTGTATCTGATGGAGGAGTACTCAGGCTGGAAACATCCATAGACCTCTGTAAGTGAGGGCTGATCTGGCTGCATGCTGTTGAAACTCGACTAGTAGGAGGCGAAACAGGTCCCAGCTGCTGAACTGTCATGGGACTGCTGGTGAATTCTAGATTGCTGCAGCTGCTTTTTCCAATGGACTTGCATTGGGATCCATAACCAAGACCTCCTAAAAGCAAAAAAGGCGTGTTAGAATTCATCTACCGTGAGCACATAACTAAGTCACAGAACTCAAAGTGTCTGTACAACAGGAATATTGACTGGAACTGAGTATCTTCAGAAGAGAATGAAATGGATGTTCAACACAAGGGTTTTGCAAACTTCTCCAACACAAAAAGCAAAAGCAATGCTCCCAATAGGATTTGATGAATGATGCCCATTTAAAACATGTTGAAGTACGTGAAGTAAAAATTAGATATAATTGATACACAGCAGAAAAAAACACCACAGAAACACTCTGGGAACAAGATCTGCTCTCAACTAAGAGACTGCAGTTATAACAGACCTTTCTCCATGGAATGAGAACAAACGGAGATTGCAGGAAAACAACCTTGTATTGTGCAGAACCTCACAGCTCCAAGAAACTGAAAGTCATTCCATCACTCCTACCACTATCTATCAAAAAAGGAAGGAGACTACGGGCACGCATGCAAATTGCTACCCCTGTGATAAGTCTGGTGTGGCAAAACGCACATGCTGCATAGTGTTCTGGCAGAAGAGAACTACAGCTGAGACCCCACATTCCTCAGAGGCATGATCTCAGATAGGACTTAGAGCTGGATCAGAAAGGCATTCTGGACTTCCATTAGAAGGCCACAGTCTGCTCTTAGACACTGCTGCCATGACTCAAAATTGATGGCTACACAGTATGGGATGACGTAGCATGGGATGATAATATAGGAGTAGCTGGCAAGTGGGACACAACTGCAAAACACTCCGTGTATTATGTGATCTGACTTAATTCCCCTGAAATAAAACACAAAAATGGGAAAGTTAAAATTTAGGACATGATATGAGACTGGCTAGATATTGGAAATAAATTAAAATTAGATAATTATTTGCATCATATCTGGAAGTTAATACTTAGATAATTCTCATTTCTAGAAGCTTCTCTGTGTTCAGACTACTACCTAGAACAGGATAGCTATACAACTCACTCATTTTTCACAAGTGTTTTCAGATGTGAGATGGCATCAAGACACTCATAGCCCTCCTCCATTACCCAAGATGGGTTTCTCTTAAAATTCTATTAGTCACCATAGCAATTTCAGATGATGGTTTCTGTTTTTAAAAAGGAAAACAAGACCTGTTTTGGAGGTCTGTACTTTCTCATTTTCTTCTTCTCTTTGACAAACCACTGATTTCTCACATGTATGTAAGGAGTACATACATGATCCTAAAAACAAACTCTCCAATAAAGATGTTAGAAGTTGAGCACGTAT